ATGGGATCAATTGCCTCCTTTTTACAATAAAAAAATTATTACGACTACCGCTCTTGAATTCCTGTAACATCAATTTTTTTGTGAGTAGGATGTCTTGCTCTTTATTTGGTCATACTCAGAGCAAGGTCTGGATCGAGTAGCGAAAAAACTGGGAGACATAAACATCGTTAGAGGGCAAAAGTGGAATATTACTGTATTCAATATAAAAAGTAGACAAGTCAACTTGTTTGTCATACAATTTATCGGATGTTCTACCGTATTCATCTCATGTTAAAGTTTTTGCATAAATTCTCCTTCATAAGAATTAAAACTGGTGCACAAATAAAGCACAGTTTGTGAACGTCCATAAAATATCAAACAGTTTGTTGGAAGACAAGGACTCCATAGACAATACCGGGTTGCAAAGAACCGGGTTAAAAAAATTAACACACTGTATATATTTTTTCCTATTAAAAGATCGCAAGTGAACTGGTGTAACTGAAAAATATATTAAAAGATAAATAGGCTACGTTCGAATATTGTAAGCTTATAATAAATCAATAGAAAGGATTAATTACCAAAAATTAAGGTGATGTACTAGCATATGAATCATAAACTTTAGTGATCTAATGGAGGGCCATTTTCATAATTTGTGGTAGCTGCAGAACTGTAGCTCTCTGAAAAATATCTTGATAGATCGGAGAGCTACGGTGCCTTCCATTGAAAAAAAAAAATGTATATTTATTGTGCACAAAAAGTGCGCTCGGTTCTATATTAATTCTTCAATTACCTACCTCAATTGCAAAAATTCAAATTTGAAAAAAAGTCCTTACTCCTCTATCAAGTACTCTCGCTAGCTCGTGGTTGATACTGGTACGAAGCGTGTTGGACCGAATTATCTTGCACACCAAAATGGCAGTATAAATGGGCTAAATTTTCGATTTAGAAACACACAGTCAGTAATTTTTTGAGATGACAGTTTTAAAATCATAGAGAAATAAATCTAACAGCGCACTTTTTTGTGGGCAATTAATATACAGTTTTTCCAATGGATGGCACTGTAGCTCTCCGGTCTGTCAACATATATTTTTTTTCGGAGAGCTACATTTCTGCAGCTAAATTTGTGGTTGATCTATGCTTGAGTTAGCTACAGATCTGCAGCTAGAGTAGACCATCTGTCAAAAAATGCAGTTTTAATTTTTGTTTAATCTTGTATCAAAAGAAGCATGGAACCGGATACAAAGCTGATAGACTGCATGCAGGTAACCTGAGATGTTAAGTTTTACAAACTATTTACGATTCATCAGTCGAGTTTTTTTTTGGGGGGGGGTCGTTTTGAAATGTTCCATTTGATTTATTAAATATCTGTATGTATAAAAGTAACGAAAAACCAACCTTAGGAAATATATTGTGCAAACCGGGGGGCCACTTTTAAAAGGTATAGAAGGAGAGAGTCGTGTATTTGGAAGAAAAAAAAACCTTAACCAAGACCCCCCTTTCCCCTCCATTCAAATACATGTTTATACCCGGTACACAATATATGTTTTTCAAGTTTGAGCTGGTTGCTTCTGACTTGTATCCCACTAAAAAAAAATCTAAAATCGCCACCGATTTCTAAAAATATTGTAAATATAAGGACAGACCCTGTTTGAGGCCGGAGATGGCGTTAAATGTCTTAAAAATGAAAAAGAAAATACGCTTCACCATTATTCATTTTAATTTTCAAGTTATTACGAAAGAACATTTGTCACTGCACACGTTAAATCTAGCATATGCATCCACTTGTATAATGCTTCAATTCTAGCAAAACGCAATTTATATGTATTTCATTTACGATTAATATGTACTGTATACCTATTGAAAATAAAATACACAAGATGTAACAGTACTTTTAAGGGTCGAGGTAAATCATTCACAATTTACATGGGAAAAGAATAGAGGCATACAAAGTGAGGACTATTATATTTCCGACTCTTAGTTTTCAAAATTCGTACATGCACTAGAATTAAAACAATTATTTTCAAAAAATAGACAATGAGAAATGTCTTTGACACATTTGACTTTTTATTTCATGTATTTAACGGTATAAAGGTTTGGCGTGTCAGGAAAACAAAAATATCCTAAAAGTATTTCACTAAACAACAAGAAATGGCAATAAAATACACGCAATTTGTTTAAGTTTTTAATTTCTTGATAAAGGCGTTAACTTCTATATTACATGGTCTTCTTATCAGTGTAGAGTTTCAGACTAGCTGGTTTTTGTTGGGGTATATCATTTTTTTTTCTTTAGAAAAAAATAATAAATTTCATAAAGAATGCTTTACAGAGTACTTTTATATTTTAAACAATGTATTTATTTTCCGTACATTGTAAATACATACAAGTATGCAAAATGGAAGGTTTACCAATTCATATTCCGAAATAATTTTGATGGCTATAATACTACCATTTCCACTACCTATACTTCACAGTAAATCAACCAAATTATTAATCAGTGCGTAATTTAATTCAAAAAATAAGGAATCGACCGTGCAGCCGTGTACATGTTGGAGATAACGTTATGTTCAGACAACACAATTTTCTTTTAAAATGTCTCTTTTTTTAAATATAAAAAAAAAACTTTTTCTCAGATCATGCGCTGAAACAGGATCTTCCTCTGTTAAAATTATACATAACGCAGGTGCGATTTACGTCATTGATACAACGTTAACCCGCAAATTTTAATAACGTCACAACTATTGTAACGTCATTTACGTGTGACGTTACGTTTTTTGGCAATTCAAAAATTTACGTTGGCAGCGAAAGGGTTAAACAGAGCAGTAACTACAATTTGTGAAAGTTTTGTCTAGCAGATAAAGAGTTAATGGTTTTCTCGCGAAAACAAGATGTCGCAAACATTAAGTGATCTGCTGTAGCTTTGGTAGAATTAGAGTGATTTTGTTGAAGACAAATTACAAATGTGGAAATTTAATTCAGAGTTCTGTTTTTATAAATTGAAAAAGCATTGTGTATAATATCAATGAAATATCAGGGAAATAACGAACAATATTCAAGATCAAAAGTCCATAAAACAATACAAAATAAGAGCAGAGAAAAACATGGACCTCCAAAAAATCAGAGGTGGGTCAGTAGGTGCCATGGAGGAGTGAGCATCCCCTGCCGACCGATTACACCCGCTGTGTGCTCCTTGTCACATTCTGGAAATAACAGAAGAAATCCATCGTCAATTCAGTGTGTAAATAATGGTCTACAATTAACAATTAATACGAAAAAACGTCATCCGGCATTTGGATCGATGATAAATTGTATTTTAAAGTATATTGCTGCATAAGTAAGGGAAGTTGACGATTGTAAAGTTAAAGTCATCACGTTTATCATAGAGCTTGGTAGTTAGATTACCATTTTTGTCTATTTCAAGTAAAATATCCAAATATGAAACAGATGTGTCAGACTTTGTGGTATTTGTTTACCTCAAGCTCACTGAGATAAATCGTATCGATATAAGAATGGAAGTTACCATTATGAATTCATTTGACAATACGATACATCTACATGTCGAGGTGAAGGAGCCTAGATTTTCTTAATTTACCATGGGGTAAAATTATGAAGTGTAGAAGTGTCGTACATTTGAATGTATTGATTTCATAGACATTAAAAAGTCTGATTTTAGATTTGCTGAAATTTCTTGAGTGTTTTGTGTATCCACATCTGAAAATTGCCCTAGAACAGTACGTCTACCGTTGATTCTTAAATGCAGTTAATTATTTTTTAGTAAGAAGCAAGGATAGCGTCTTGGTAGGTCCTTTGCTGGACGGGGCAATATTTTCGTCGTTTGTTAAGATTTCAATGAAGTTTTGGAATCCAGTATAGATTAAAACGACCTCACCTTAGTGAGTGTAATATCATAACAATTAACCTCAGAAATGTAATTCTAAAAATGTAATTTCATTCTTGGTCATTAATGTAAATTCCATGTATATGTATAATATTCAGATATTTAGATAAGATAAGGTTCTTTCGAAATATATCTCCAATAAGTACAATAAATAGAGAATGGGTGCCTCCTTTTTATCATATACAATATAATAAAAATCAAAAGTAAACGATATCCTAGGTATTTAATAATTAAATCATTGTTAAGATAGTCAACTATTTTTCAAGCTGTAATTTTGAGGTCTTTGATATCAAATTGCTTGATTAAAAACGGTTTTAAACTTGCTTTCAATGGGCAACATTACAAATATCATTTTTAATAATCCGCCTTCCTTTTTTTTTTTTAAAAAAAAGATCAATCCAATCATTTATTGAACTTATAGGAAGTATTTTCTCTTTTTTAACTGTGTACAAATTATTATACACTACTGCAAAGGAGTTTTCAAGATATTTTTTTTCCCCGTCAGATATACTCAAGTAGAAAAAAAGGTAATGTTTGATGTAACGCCACCAGGACAATATTGTATACATTTAAAACATTTGTAAAGTATTATTAAATATAAGTAAAATTTTATGAGGTGACGCTTATAATTACTTGATGTTTGATGTACCTCAAATAGGTTTAATTTTATGACACTAGTCCACGAACTTTATGTACTGATAAACACTCGCATTATTTATAAATCTAACTGCTATCAGATATCGATGCACAATCGTGCCTTAAAATTAGTAAAGATTATATTTTCAGCCCGAGTTTTTAAATATAACTAAATTGCCATTTCTGTCTCTGTGTGATTAACTTGTACGAATAAAAAATAACTCATTACATCATTTCTTTATTTAACTAAAGGAATTGATGGTGAAAATTAATGTTCAATACATAAATAAATAATAGATTATTCAGAACATTCACAATCTGGAAAATAATGCTAAGAATAATCAATATATATAAGATCACCGGTACTTTCTTTTTATTGTTTACTTTTTTGTAAACAGTTCCATTTTCAAGAACTGTACGTCTGCATTCTCTGTATGCAGTATAAATGTACTTTCACTTTCTGTTCAGTTTCCTATAAATATTGCGTAAGTATTGCAACGATAACTGTACTGTGGATAAGGGAAGGAAGAGGTAGGAATTATATAACAAATATAACGTTATACATTAAAATAGAAGCTTTCTCTCAGATCAATTATTTTCATGTTTACTCGACTTTAACATGATTAAATCATCTCTATTCCACATTCTTAAAGCCATATATGGCGTATCAGTACTTTTCATAAGTTCAGACTAATAAAAATCTTGAAAAATCTTACTGTTTATTTTATTTATTGATATAAAGATAGGGTTTTTCTTGTGAATTACAAAACTTAAAGTTAAATCAATCGCGTTTCATAGATATAAGAAATTTCAAACAATGGGCCATTCATTGAATTTGAAAGTAAATAATAATGAAATATATGGAGATAACGAACAGTGTTTAAGCTCTTAAGTCTATAAAACTATACTTATACAAATTAGGAGCAAAGCAAACACGGACATCCAAAACATCAAAGGTGGGATCAGGTGGGTGCCAACCGGTCACACCCGCCGTGTGCTCCTTGTCATATTCGGGAAATAACGAGGAAATCCATCGTCAGTTCAGCGTGTAAATAACGGACTAAGATTAGTATGAAAAACATCAGTCAGCATTTTACTCGATAATTAATTGAAAATAACAAGTATCACGATCATTAAAACCCAATCTTGTTTTCTTATTTCTTAGCACACATTTATTACGCCATGTATAACTTTAAATTCAATAATGCTATCACTTTGTACGAAAGCCGAATAGGACCACATAAAAAAATATTTTTATCTCATAATTACGAGAAAAGATCTCGTTATTACGAGTTAATTATCTCGTTATTACGAGAAAAGATCTCGTTATTACGAGTTAATTATCTCGTAATTACGAGAAAAAATCTCTTATTACGAGTTAATGATCTCGTTATTACGAGAAAAAATCTCGTAATAACGAGAAAAGATCTCGTTATTACGAGTTAATGATCTCGTAATTACGAGAAAAGATCTCGTTATTACGAGTTAATTATCTCGTTTTAACGAGAAAAGATCTCGTTATTACGAGTTAATTATCTCGAAATTACGAGTTAATTATCTCGTTATAACAAGAAAAGATTCCGTAATTACGAGAAAAGATCTCGTTTTCTCGTTATTACGAGTGAATTATCTCGTAATTACGAGTTAATTATCTCGTTATAACGAGAAAAGATCCAAGATAATCTTTTGTATATTAATATCCTTATAAAGGATATATTCAAATATGGTCATTTGTAACTTTTGTACATATTTGGTTAATTTGTTTAGCATTACAATATGCTCATTTACAACAAACATTTTGTTTTAATATTTGCAAAAAACAGAGCAGAGTAGATTCATTCGTGGAGAAAATAAATTATTTGAGGAAGGTGGAAGACGATGGTATAAATTTATAATCATCTCGTAATTACAAGATCTTTTCTCGTTACATCGAGATAATTAACTCGTAATTACGAGATCTTTTCTCGTTAAAACGAAAAAATTAACTCGTAATTACGAGATCTTTTCTCGTAATAACGAGATGATTAACTCGTAATAACGAGATCTTTTCTCGTAATCACGAGATAATTAATTCGTTATAACGAGATCTTTTCTCGTTATAACGAGATCTTTTCTCGTAATAACGAGATAATTAACTCGTTATAACGAGATCTTTTCTCGTAATAACGAGATAATTAACTCGTAATAACGAGATCTTTTCACGTAATTACGAGATCTTTTCTCGTAATAACGAGATTATTATCTCGTAAGTACAAGAAAAGATCTCTTAATTACGAGATAAAAATGTTTTTTATGTGGCCCTATTCGTCTTTCGTAACTTTGGAATTTGATTCCAATGTTTACGGTTAATAAATGTATTGATGAATCGATATAATTTAATAATATCTTTAATTTCGATTTGGATTCTCGAATATCAAAAAAGGAGAAAAACAAAATAGTGTTAGTGTAGATTCATATTCGTTCAAATCATCTCCAGCCCCCTGGTTGTAAGGCTGGGCCATAAAGGACAATCAAATTTTTACATATGAATATCTAGAAAACACTTCATCTCAAGAACAGCAACGTCATGATTGATCTTTTTTATATGTAAGCATCCACAGGTAGTGAAGATTCAAGTTTATTCAAATCATGACCCTTGAGGGTAGGGTGGGCCACAATCGACGATCAAAATTTTACTTAGAAATATATTATATATTTTTAAAAAAAAATTACTCAGGATTAGCAAAGTCATGGTTGATCTTACTAGCATTTGTATGGTAACATCCTCAGATATAGTGTACATTTTGCTTTGTTCAAATCATAAGTGGGGTCGGGGAAGGACTGGGTTTGTTAAAATTATAGCCCCCTGCTTCCTTTTAAGGTAGGTGGGGACCACTTTTGGAAATAACATTTCAATAATGAACTTATTTTTGATTTTAGTCCACAGTACTCAGGTGAGCAATGTGGCCCACAAGCCTCTTGTTATATATTGAATGCAAGGGTGTTGCCTAGAACATCCAAATGCAGTTCAATTTCGATAAGATAATTAGTTCTAGTATAACATGCTAAAAAGTACCTGTATTTGTTTTCATTTTGATTAAAAGAGTAAAAGATAGAATGAATAAAACATGCTTGATATATTGAATATTTTATATTAAAATACAAAGCATGTAACACGTTTATGGGCGTTTTTTTGTCAGATCAAAATGGAAAACACATGCAACAACTGTGGAATTCAAAGAGAGGGAATGCAGAAGTGTGGACGATGCCACTTTGTGTACTACTGCAGCAAAGAGTGCCAGAAAAGGGACTGGAAAACGAACCACAAAACAAAGTGTGATGACCTGAAGAATTCCAGAGATACGGAGATAAACGATGGAGAGGGTATTTCCTCTTCTGGTGGACTTCTTAAACAGGCATTGAGAAATTCGACTGATCTTGCTTCAAGTGCATTGTGTATGTTCTGTGGAACTAGTTCAGGACAACTCAAGAAATGCGGACGTTGCCTGACAGTCAGCTATTGCTCGAAATCATGTCAAACGCAAGACTGGCCCGACCATAAAACCGTTTGCAAAAATAAGGACATTGTTGACGTCATACAGACCGATGGGTACAAGGAACATTTGAAGAAATCAAAATCAGACAGAATTCTTTCTCAAGCGACCCAGGGCCGTAATAGTTTTACTGCTTTTGATAGTGGACACCAAGTGATGTTTGGACCCTCAACAATGTTCAGAACGGATTCTGCCGATCTTTCTTTGCGAAAGTCTACAACAAAAGACCTTAGAAGACAGGCAAAGCTATACGTACAACGAAAGTTCCCCATGCAGTACATTATTGACGATATTGAAGAAATACCCCATGAGTTTCCTTCGAGTTTTGGTAATGCAAGAGTGTCCTTCGTGGGGTTTATTTCCAGATACCACCACTATAGAGGGCGCCACTGTGTGTATATACAGGTAAGTACGTTAACTCCATTGAAATTATGCAGAAGAAAAATGAGGAAGAAAATGTCATTAAAATTTCTTAAATTTAAAACCAAATCAGGATGGCAAATAAGTTTAATGCCATAATTAAAATAATTATTCATATTTCAATATTTTAGGATGGAAATAATGCTGAGATATATGTCGGATTTTATCTTGATTACGATAATCCCTATCCGTATTTTACCTGGGGAGATGTTCGCCCTGGGAAGTTCATCTGCCTCCACGATCCCAGAATTCATTTTTTCCTTGATGGATCCGTCGGAATCCGCGTCAATGAAAGCAGCGAGGCCTTCTTTTTCGATGTCTGAATTCCTGGACTCTTTGATTACACGTTATATTTAATCTATTAAATACGTACGTGTATATACGTTTTTCCTGTTTGTTTGTGATGGTTTTTTAAAACATGTTTGTAAAAGTTATAATTATTAATGTTTTTGATTCTCTTGTCCATATCTAGATGCTGTTAATTCACTATAATGGTCTATATTGATTATGTAATACATTCAGGAGGATAATTTAAAAACAAATAAGTGATTCATTTTATTGTAATTTATTGGTAAGGGTTCAATATTAATTCACCTGAGATCATACGAATTATCTACATTTTGTATTCGACAAAAAATGTTTTAAAAAATACTAAGTATGCAAGAATGCTACTATCAGAAATCATTAACATATAACTGTAAATGTATTATATTTAGTGTGTACGATATTTGGCGTAAATTGATTTTTGAACGAGTTACATGTAGCGTAGATTTGAATTAGCGCATTTCTCAATGTTCATATTTACATGTATGTATATATGTGCAAGACATTTAGCGTTGTTCTTGAATTAGCGGAAGTTCCTTTCCGCCAAAAGCGCTATAAAGAAAACACAGCCAAATATAATACGTTTACAGCTGTGTATTCTTTTTAGTGCTTTTAATGCAAATCGTGGTTTGATTTATATATAAGAATGTTTAGATTCTTTCTTACTTGATTTCAATTTTGAATAAACCATATGATAGAAACTTTTCATTTTCAGATTGGAGTACAATGTAATATCTAATTTTACATTTGCAATTATCTTTCTCAGATGAACCTATTGCAGAGAAAATATGTTCAATTCTGTGTGAATGTTATTTGGGGGTTAGAGGTCATAGTACGATCGAATCACAGAGCGAGGTGATATTTTGTCTACATATTTCTGTCACGGTACAACAGGTCTGGACGATTTCTAAATAAGGAAGTCAAGAACGATAACAGTGAATTGCTATTAATACACAGAATAAACAAGGCACTAATCCATCTGACCAATCAGATAACAGCATTTAGACAAACCCATGAGAGAATAAATAAAACACGTGGTTTTTAAGTTTTTTGCTCAAAAGATATTTTTAGAACAAACTTTTTGTAAACTTTATGCGCATTTGGGAATAACATAATATTTATGACAATTCTACCGTGAACAAACCCGACTTGAAAACTTGGAATACGTTTTAAGTGGAATAAAAAAATCTGTCTCTAGGAGTTAGCAATCCCAAAAGTTTACTTCCGTTAAAAAAGTTATATAAATACGGTATTTTTTTTGTTTTTTGAGTCTGAAATAAAAATCTTATCGAAAAGATAACAGTTTTTATTATTTTTGAGTGTTTATTACAGAATACTAGTAGTCCATGCAGTTTCTGATATGCGAGGTAAGATACTGAGATAAAACGCATTCATGTATAATTACAGGATTCTCTTTTCTCCATGTTAAACGCCATTCCTTAGGCCCATTTAAAGTCTGCATAGCTTGTAGTATTCGGCGCTCATGAAACCCGTGATAATGCAAAACTATATGTGTATACTCCATACGATAAACACTTGTGTGAGTTGATCTATACAAATGGAATTTAAGCATTGTCGATGAAAATCGGACGGCTAAGCAAAATTATATTTACAATCATATAATATATTCTGGTAAATGTTATAATTGAGCTTGATAAAAACTTTGTGGTGCGATCTATTCCTCTGTAGACGATTACATTCTATCGTGCATTATTATTTTTTTTTTACCGAGATAAAAATGTCAAGGTTGTTCACGGTAAATATGTGGTGAATACCTTATTTTTCAAAAGTTTTCATCTTACTTCTACAGATTTTTTGTTAAAAAAATCTTTTTGAGGAAAAAAAACAAAAGCACGTGTTATCTTTATTCTTTTAAAATATGTTTTGGGGTGTGTAAAAATGCTGTTGTCTGATTGGACAGAAAAATAATTACGTGTACTTGATGTACATTTATAGCAACTTTCGGTTATCGTTCTTGACTTCCATATTTAGAAATCGTCCAGACCTGTACAACGTTTAATAGGTCGAGATCACTACCTTATATGGAAGGCAATTTTCAACACGTGACGATGTCTTCGTCACGCCTGTTCTCCAATCAAGTGAAAGAGTCCCAAAGCATAACAGTCTACCACGTGTTTACGATTCAATGGCTACACGTGGTTTCGTCGGTTTACTGCACAAAATTTAACTCGTCAACGGAAAAACTGCAGAGCTTATTTATAACTTTATTAGACCGAAATTGAAAGATTATATTCTAAAGACACTGCTCCATGCTCACATTTAATATTGGGCTGTTTAAAATTAATTCTACGTTTAACGTCACATCCAAAGTTCAAAACCTACGAGGGAGGGAGGAAAAAAATAAACAAACAAAATTTTCAAACAATTGTGAATTTATTCAAATTAACCTATTCATTACATTAAAAGCATTACAATTAAGTTATAAGAGCATTTAATTGATATGACACCTAAGATTAATTTCCCTAGCAGAGTATTTCCTTAGTATGTAAATCAGTTTGAGTCCTATTGTTAGCAAACAATGTATACGTAGTCTAAGACTGAATGTGCAGGTATGTGGCTTTTTTTTAACTAGGCCTCAGTTGTCCTTTGGATTTATATTGCCACACGTCCATGGTACCCTGGAGGCAAATGCTTCTTCTTGTGGGAATAGTTGATCAATATCTACAATTAAAATTATTGATGACAATATTTAAAATGGTTCATGTTGAAATATCTCAAATTGAATTATGTCATATTTTTTCTTAGTACTAGATCTACTAGCATTAAGTTTTGAAAGTGTGAATACTAATATCTGGACCATGTTGATAGCTGTTAGATTATCTTTAATACCTTGAATTCCACACAAAAGACAGGATTCTTCACGTCTTGGAATACCCCAACTTCTTTCCTTACTCTCCTTCACTTGAAAGGCCTTATTTTCAGTAAGCTTCTCCCTGCTCAAATGGTTATGACAAGTATTATCTTTTCCAAAAAATGTAGCTATTTGTAGGTACATGAATTGTACCAATTACTTCACTCATTACTGTTCCTTTCGATTTTTACAGAAATATTTTTAATATGAAACACATTAAATAAGATTTGAATGATGCTTTTCACTGTATATAAATCTTGGTTTTTGACACACTTTCCACTCAGTAAAAAAATTTTTCGATTCTTTCCAAAATACAATGAAAAGTTCAGCTAATAAAATCACGAACCGAGAGTCTGTCACTGTCAGTTTGAACATGTGATTCGAAGACTGACAAAAAAAATCAACAAACTAGACTTTGTCATTAACTTCAATCATAAAACCATCTATTTTTTACTTACATTCATGGTCCAAAACTCTTTAATTCACTAGTTTTCTTTAATAAGACACCAACTGCCTTTATCAAAGCACATTTTCTGTCACTATGGGAAGCAGATCGTCGCTAATTGTAGAACCAAACCGGAACAGACATACGGAATTCCGAATTGTTTGTTTTTTTCAAAGACGAATTTCTCATAAACCTACGCGCGCGGGTGACGTTAAACGTAGTTTTGATTTTAAACAGCCTTGGAGTTGTTTTAGATGATATTAACAGTTGCTTCGAATATCGTACAAACGCTTTGACTTTTGCATATACATAAAACACTTTCTGATAATATTGAGGGGTTAAATAATAATTGCACACTTTCTCCTGCTGTCTAAAAACAAGGACCTATATACTACCAGCGAAAGCTATGTATACGTATATCACGTGAATAAAACTCAATGTTTTATCGACACGATAGCACTTATACGTCTCTTTGAACAAAGGTATACTAGGCCGATGTATTTTAAGTTGATATAAGGCTTCATAAAGCAAATTTTGTAAATGTGAGCATAAAAATGAAAGATTATGCATTATTTTAAATATTTCTTTCACAAATTTCAAAAAAAAAAATTGAAAATAAGTTTCCAAGGGACATTCAAGTTGCTTTTAATTTTCAACACAGCTAGGTACTTGTAGTAGCCTACAATGCATTGCGGCTCATTCAGCAGTAGGTAAAGTAGACATATTAGCTAATTTACGTACAAATTTATTCTGACGTCAGAAAATCTAGTGGTTTCGACCTGTTTAAGGAATCACTGTCTAGTTTTGAGAGTATGCCAGGGCATCAACAATAGTGGGAAACGTGGGATAGTTTGCATAACGGGACTTTAACACACCTTTACACAAAAATTCCAAATTTTTACCTTGTTCGTAACTTTTGAATGGTAGATACTAGGGCTTTCATACTTCACATATTTTTTTGTAACAAGACCTTCCATTGGAAACCAACAATTTTGACCTTGGATAATTAGGTACTTTAAAAAAAAAGTTTAACCTCTGCCATAACATTTGAATGGTAAGTAGGTAAGGGCTATGCTTTCGTAATTTACATATGTATTAAATCCTTATAAGAAAACCTTCATTTGGGTACCAACAACTTTAATTTGACTTCAGAGTTTGACATACTTTTAAAAACAAACCTAGACTATACCTTTTGAAGGGTTAGGGCATATTTCGAACAAACATTGTGTTTATCATTTTCAATATAAAGAAGGCCAGAGAAAGGGTAAGATTTACTGATATTCGTCCCTGTAGATGATAGTTAGCAAAAAACTTTTATTGGCATTTCAAGATTAGAAAATTGTAATAAAGAAATGAAATATTCAATGTCACTAAAGAAATATCCATTTTAAAATATCAATCAAATTATATATAAAGAAGTAATCCACTAAACGACAGTCCGACCATCTGTTTTGTAGTTCTACCCACATTCGTTTCACCTCCGGTGGGGTATAGTGATGACCTGTAATCCTATACCTAAAGTTCCTTCCACAGGGCCCAATTTCACGACTACCGCAACTGAACTCATGATGTTCTTTTGCGACAGCACCGATTTGTTTCCGGCACAAACCGGTTATGAAAACATCCTCAAATATAAAATAAGGAACCTTTTGTGTTGCTTGGTAGAGATCGTAAATAATATCACCGGAAATAAGATAAGCAGTTCCGGATATGTATTCCGGATATTCTCTGTCCTCATACTGATCACGTGAAACGTGCCATTTAGAAAATGGATTTCGATATGGTGCAGAATGGGTGACTTTACATCCAAGAATTGCGTTAATTTGAGAAAATTCCGTTAAATAACTCAAAAGTCTGGGAAGATTTAAGAATATATCATCGTCAATCTTTAAAAGGTAACGAGCTCGGTTGCAAAATGAAACCGTCCAACGTAAAATAGCTATAGATTTTCTTGTAAGATTCTCGTACGTTTCTAGAACGTCTTCAAATATAATATCGTTGTAAATCAGTTTTTCAGTTTCTGCTAAATCTTGCAAAGCTGGATTTTTACTTTTACCCAAGACAAAGTTGACTTGAACAGTCGGTGTAACTTTTGAAACGTTCCCCCACGTCTGACGAATGGCATCTCTCTGTTTAAAGTTTGATACTGAGCTAGGCACCATTATGAGTAGAAACACATTTTCACCTTGGTCAGCACATTCTACAGGGGGCAGGGTGATAGGTGGAACTATCCCGGTCTTAATGTAAGCCTGAACAAATCTATAGGAAATCTCCTCGGTTTGAATTTTCCATCCACGAAAAGTATGGAAGGGAATTACCGCCAAAAGTCTATGTATCTTCCTTTTATTCTTATTCTGCCTACTTCTTTATGCTTTGTTATTATTGTAATTATATGTCACTTTATTCTTTTCATATTCGTCTTTATTACATTTCACTTTGACTTTTATCCTTCTTCATTTCGTCCTTACTTCTATGTTTCTTTATTCTTGTTAAGTCATTTTATTTTCTTTTAAATTGATACAGTATCTTAAATGATTATCTCTATTACGAACGTTAACTCAATCACACAAACAATGAAGCATATTCAATGAAGACGAATACGAGTTGTCCTAATTTAGTGCCGCATTATAACGCAAGGTGGCAGGGGTGTTCGCTAAGAGTGTTGGTAAAATTAGGCAAACCGGGCCGGGGTTATTCGAGTTTTTTTTCCCAATTTTCTGCCTTAATACTTTATCAATCGAACTTAAATTTTAAAATGAATGATGTTTGTTATTAGTTCAGGTATGTACCCGATACATGCCATTCCCTCGGAAGTCTCGCTAGATGGTAAGATTTCCCCTGGAAGACTGACAGCATAGTGATGCTTCCTTCGGAAGACTATACAGTGGGATTTCCCCCCGGGGTATAACTAGTCTTGCGTGGGAAATCTCGCTATATATAGCAATTCGCCCCCCCCCCCTCCCTTCATAGCAACCCTTCCCCCGAATAGTTTTTTTAATCGTAAAACGATGTTTATACATGTATATACGAACGTTTTCAGTTTTTTGATGAAAAGTTATCCGTCCTATACACATGATACATGTATGAATAAATATTTAAATAATATCATTTTAAAAGTGCTTTATTATTAAATCATTTTAACCAATAGTTAAACATAGATAATCTTCACGAGAACATATGGATAATGAACCCCCCCCCCTCCCCCTTGGTTAAGTCGCCCGCGTGGCACTGTAGTTACGGCGTCTGCTTAAGAGTCACGAAGTATACAGAAGTAAGGACGCCGTGGGTAAGAATCCCACTGTAGGACGTGGAGTTCAATCCATCGGATGAGATCTAGACCTTGTTATTCGAGGTCCCGTGTCGCAGTAGGTGCTGGACCGAAAAAAGATCCCTCACTGCTCAATGGCTATAAGTGCCAAGTACATGTACATGTATATAGGACAAATTTGCAGCTCTCCACCGGCAAGATGTGGCTTCTCCTTTTGAGTTAAAAATTTTCGCAAGGGACATTATACAATGTACAATCAAACCACAAGTCTCAATATATATATATATACTGACTTCCGGTTGGACGACCTCCTATGGGGTAAGTTTCGCCGGTAGAGGGGGTGGGTGGCCACGAAACATTTTCCTAAACATAACTTTTTACTACTGGAAAAGTTCAGCGAAAGGCTTGTTGACCCTATCCCTTACCCTTTTTGTTGCAGTACTAATAGTCAATTTATATATTAAAAGTCATGACGATGTACTTATTGGCATGAGTAAAATTTAGTACTGAAAAAATGTTGACGACCCCTCCCCCCTCACCACCACCAAACAGAATTTTCGAGTTCTAAGGTATTTTTAGCTCTCCTGGCTGATAACAAATACGATGCGTACTAAAGATATTTCTTTCTTTCTTTCTTGAAAATTAAGTGCTATTTTAATATAAAATATTAACACTGAAAATAAGACCAGAGAGTTTTTAGTATGTCTGGATGCATGAAGCCTAGTTCCTACTTCGCCTACCATGCCCGGATCTAGAGGGGGCTGGGGTGTTAGGACCCCCTGGGATTTACAAGGTTTAAAAATATATACTAAAGCAAGGAAAAAAAGTTAAACGCTCCCTACGAAATAGGATTTTGACGTTTGGGAGAGTTTAGGTTTTTTATACTCGTCAAGAAATTTCTGGGATTGGACGAAATTTTTTTTGGACTGGGGGTACCCGGCTGAAAACAACCTGACACCCCCCCCCCCCCCCCCCCCGGCAGGAAATTGTCTAAACTTAAAAATACATACCAGGCGTCGGAACCTTGGAGGGGGACTTAGCCCCCACTTTTTTTGTCCAGGGATAGATTTAGTACAGACGTTCCTGCATAGGTTTAGACCCCCCCCCCCCACTTGCTATGGACACGATGCAGTATAGGTTTAAAATCGGGAAAGTGGTGGTGTATGGAAAAAAAACTTTGGAACTGGAGTTCGAATCTACCCCCCCCCCCCCCCCGAAATTGGTTTTTGGTGTTTGGGAAATGGTATTTTCCCTTTTTTTTTATTTTTTTTTTTTTTTTTTTTTTTTGCTTGTCAGGTTTTTATTTTTGAAGGTCTTAAAAAATTCTTACACTTAGCCCCCACTTTCAATTTGCTTCCGATGCCAATGAAATCCAATTTCGAAGGCAGGGTGAGTTTTGGGTTAGATTCAACTTCCCCTATAGAATCAAATTTGATTTTTTTTTCCCACTATACGGACTACATTAACTTATTTGACCCTTACTCTTACAAAAAGAGGGTCGGCCTTTCAATGAACATATATACAGTATTCAGTATAGTATAAAGTTATGTCTGATAAAAGAGGCCGCTATTCATGTGTGCCCAGAGAAAATAAATATGGAGTTTCCATTATTGGATCGGATTATTGGATCCGACCTTCAGAAGTTCGATTGATAATTAAAGTACTAAGGCGTATTGAAGAATCTCAAATAACCCGACCCGGGTTTGTTTACCTAGTTTTACCAACACTCGTAGCGAACACCACACCACCTAGCGTTATAATGCCGCACTAAATTTTGACGGTTTGACAACTTCCATTCGTCTTCATTGAATATGCTTCATTGTTTGCGTGATTGAATAATTTATTTAAGAAACTGTTTAAGTTTAAAAGAAAGTAGAATGGATTTACAAGAATAAAGCAACATAGAAGTAAGGACAAAATGAAGAATGATAAAAGTTCGAAGTGAAATGTAATAAAGACGAAGATGAAAACAATAAAGTGACATATAATTACAATAACAACAAAGCATAAAGAAGTAGGCAGAATAAGAATAAAAGGAAGATACATAGACTTTTGGCGGTAATTCCCTTCCATAGAAAAGGTGTACAAAGTAAGTAAATTACTAGAAACAAACAGATTATCCATATGACAGCTGAGGCAAGATTTCTCTTCATCTTGGGTGATAGTAAGTCTGAAAAATATAAAATGAATACAATTATTTATCATTTAACATAAACACTGTCGGGTATCCGGGCCGGTTGTGACATGTTTGGATGCGGTGAAAATGGCGTAAAATGTACAAACGGGGAATACTGTGTACCTTTTCCAGGTCTATATTTTGGTAAATATTAATTTTTTTTCTCAATTTTTAATTGAAATTCTATAGGTATCTGGTTAATTTAAATGATGTGTTTCAATTCTATTTATAGTGTTCATTAAATAACTCGTTGATGCGCTTTTTATCGATGCACTTGATATTCATACCCCTTTATCAAGTTTTAATTCATGATTGTTAAAATGATATCAAAGATATTTAAAATCTGAAGCAGCCAAAAGAAAGAAAAGTCATTTTACATTTAAGATATTAAAAGTGTAATTTATGTCCCATACAAGAAATGTATTTTAAAAACCGTTTTATTTTATGTACCCATAACAAATATAATACGGTTTGGATAGATGGGATTGTTCTGGTTTGGATGCAAATTCAACATCTAAATGTTACGGTTTGGACGGTCTATAGTTTCAAATTTCTGAATCCTGTAGAGCTATGCTTATTCAATACACCCTTACATGAAGGAAATGGCGTTTATGATAATATATATATTAGTATCAATTCATAAAAATTTTTCACAGGTACATAAGAAGTCACCTTTCCCTTCCTCATACATTATTTTACAGCTGATTTCATATACGAATGTTGAATCCCTTTTTCTCCACACGATTTAAAGGAAAGTTTTCGATCACATCCCCTTTTTTCTTTAAAAACGATACTACGTGTCTGATAACATAAAATAAATGTAAAATATGTTAAAAATATAGGTAATCAGAGATTATAGAGCTCATTTCAACGAATGTTGTCTTTAAGTAAGGCAAAGTCACACAATTAACCAACAAAAAGTGTACATTCCAAAAATAAAAATATTTAAGCAATTTTGATCTGATACTTTGAAATAGACCTATATCAAAAATTTAAACTAGTTCTTCTTCATGAAAATGTAATTAAAATCCAGCATCTGAAGCAAATTTGAGAGTTTTCATCTCCTGATGTAACATTTGTGCAAGTTTGGTTTATACAATGTTATATAAGCCTTTTAGTTTTTTGGTAATTGACCTGCACACATAACTTTTACCTGGTCTATTATCTAAAAATTAATGTTGAATTCAGCATCCGAAGCAAGTCCATTTGTGTGCATCCTCAGATGTATCATCCATGCAAGTTTGCTCATTATAGGGCTCATAGTTAATTAGAAAATAAATCAGCATCAAAAACTTTAACCTATTCACTCAACCGGAAAATGTAGGTCACATTCAGCATCCGAAGAAAGCTTGGTCGTATGCATCCTTAGATGTATCATCCATGCAAGTTTGGTCAACATAGGGCTTATAGTTACTTGGAAATGAAACCTGCACCAAAAACTTTAACCTATTCACTCAACCAGAAAATGTAGGTCACATTCAGCATCCGAAGCAAGCCTGGTAGTATGCATCCTTAGATGTATCATCCATGCAAGTTTGGTCAACATAGGGCTCATAGTTACTTGGAAATGAAACCTGCACCAATAACTTTAACCTATTCACTCAACCGAAAATGTAGGTCAGATTCAGCATCCAATGCAAGTCTGGTAGTATGCATTCTTAGATGTATCATCCATGCAAGTTTGCTCAACATAGGGCTCATAGTTACTTGGAAATGAAACCATCACCAAAAACTTAAACCTGTTCACTCATCCTGAAAATGTAGGTCAGATTCATCATCTGAAGCATGCCTGGTAGTATGCATCCTTAGATGTATCACCCATGCAGGTTTGGTCAACA